TTAATATAAATAGTAGTTCAACTTTTAAAATAGGATCAAATATTCATTTTCTTCTTTTGAGATTTTCCCAATAACCATATTAATTTTAGTGTTTACTCATTTGTAGTACTTAGTTGCACCACCTAACAATAGAGAAATTAGTTGCTCATCCCTAAGAAAAAATTAACTGCCCCAGTCTGTTCCTGACATTATCACAATGTAGATCAGCAGGGCAGGCCCCAGCAAACACTGTAAAGGACAACTCTTCCATTATTCCCCACCCCAGAAGGCCCTCACTTTCTTCATCATTACTATAAAGAATGTCTGGTATGCAAGTATGACTGAACAGATCCCTGCAGTTCTATTGTGAACGTGAATCCTGAATTGAGAGCCCCATGGCTCTTGGGAACAGAAAGCAGCAGGCCAGCTTACAAATACTGTCTGGTACATCAATACAGTTATTATATATATGTTTGCTTAGTGCAGATAATTTCCTTAGCACTGTTCAAAATATGTAAAGACAATCCTTTCCCTGAAGAGCGTGCAGTCTAACAGACTATAGAGTTAGCAGTAAAATATCACATCAAGTCTATTTAACATTCAGAAACCCTTATGTTCAGCTATAGAGAGATAGTTTCTGCTCTACAGGGGTAGACAAGAAATCGATAAAATATCCATTCTTTGTGATACAGTAAATGAAACTAGCCTTTTCAAAAATTAGTACAAGATTTTTATTAACCCTTTAAACTCAGTCACAATCTCCCTCTTGTGTCTGCTACAGAGAAAGAGTAAACTATGTCAGGTTGAAACCTGGTTGCAGATGGAGCCAAGGTTCTGCCCTGCCCATTCTGCCCCCTCTTGCCCAACTGCATAAGGAGGGCAGTGGGGCTATTGTGGCTCTGCAGAGCCTGCCTGAGGTGACAGCCAGACTCGCTGGCCACAATTGCGCCTTATAAAATTACTTCTCAACTGTGCATACAAATAGGTTTCCCTCTTTGTATCATATGCAAAATTGTATATCCCTATACAATGCAGTGGATAAATGCAACTATGTTGCTTGGAAGAGATAATTAAAGTCATTCATCAAAAGATTCCATCCAAACAAGCTGAATAAATCCTTGGCTTGAATAGTAGCAGAAGAGGGGGAGGGGATTCCCTTTGTTAAAAAGTAAGTGGGGTCCTGATCTAATGTCCATTGAAGTCAATGGAAAGAGTCCCAGGAACTTTAATGGGTTGGATCAGGCCCTACCTAAGTGCACACAAAAATGTTCAACTCATTAAAATTAGAGGGTCATGTCTCTCTGGAGTAACTTTAATATTACTCTTCTATATTAAAAATGATAAAATTGCTCTGAACTGTTGCAACTGCTAGTTGGATGTTCATGAATCTGAGATTAGATAAAATCAAAATGTCTAGCAGCCTTAAACACAAGTCCTATGCTCTACACAATAACCAGACCTTGCACAGTTATTCTTGCACAGAAAGTATCCTAAACCACCCACTCCCCCCCACCCAATAATAGGCCCTTCTATTCTCCTCCTCTTCAGAATTTGCAAGAGCCAGCCTGGTATTTATCTTGCACTGACTGCAATTGAGTCCATCTAGTTCCCATCTGTTGGTTGCTGAGCAACTACACATCCAAAAGTGAAGATATTCTACTGATCCACCTTAGGGCTGGGTGGGCTACTGTGACCTATCCAAGGGTTTGTTATGGTAAAAGGGGGAAATACATAATGAAAAATAAATTGTGTGTTTGGTGAAAATTTTTTGTTGAATGTTACAATAAATTATAACATGCCATAAATGTGCACAGCAGATTAGGCATGTAAGGATAGAAGTAACTGTCCCAAAAATCTTAAATTCTAAAGCTTGACCTCTGCAGTGAGAATTGTGCGATTTCAGTGCATCTAAAAGTCCAATCCTGGAGTATTTATATATGTGGGTAGTCCCATTTGGGATACTAAGGAGTATTTATATAAATACAGAAGGCAGAATGAACAAGGAATATTTAACAGAACATGGGCTCAAGCCCCCACTTAGACAAATTACTGTAAAGAGTTAAAAATCTTTTTAGTAACATATCTCAGCTCTACAAAACAATGTTGTAAAATTAATGCAAATTGGAGTACAGTTAGCAAAAGAGCTTGTGATTTAGGAAACATTTTCTTACAGAGATTTAAAATAATCTTTCCCTAATCTTTTACCTCTCCAACATCTTTCCTTAGATCTCTTAGGCTTGTTTCAAGATATCGTACTTCATCTTAGGTTACTATGCAGATTCCTTCTTGGATTTATGTATTGTCGTACAATACAATATAAGACTTCCCTTCTGCATTTTCTGCTTCAACCACACATTACTGAGCTCCATGGAGGAGTCATTGGGTTAAATTATATATCCCATGTTATACAACTGTATCATTGGGTAAACCGTGGTTTCATCTACTTTATACAACCTTAGGACTTAATGTGTCCCAGCACATGGAATGTCTTTCTAAAAGTTGGTTTGTTGGTTATTTCTCCCAGACTCTTTAATTACAACCATTGCTTGTATTTAAAATAAAATAAAATAAAATAAACAAAACTTTGTCCAGTCCTTTGTGAACTACATACTCTAACAATTTGTTTCCAAACAAATGTAGTGGCAGAATTCCCACTCCCTATAATTTCAGATCTTTGGTTCCCATGTAGATAGATCCCGTACATTTGTCTAACACACACACTGTGCAACTTCTATTTGGTTTTATTTTGAGTCCTGATCTCATGTTATAGCTGCATATAAACATACACTCTGGTATGTTTACAGTATGTGGCAGTAAAATATTTGGCTGGAGGAGTTTCAGAAATGCCAATTTTAGGTGCATCCTTAAAACATACCTTGTTTGGTTTATGCTTGTCAAAAAAGGATGTAGGTTCATGTCCTCTGTGTCTATGTTTATTCCCTCTTCAGTACCCCTTTGAGCAAACTTTCTGCCACCAAGGACTCTCAGCCCAGGTTTTCACTGCTAGAGCCTAAACAGTCTAACAATTGTATCCACACCACAGCCTACAGTGTATGAAAATTCCACACACAAAATTACGATTACAAACCTTTAAACTTGAAATATGGTATTTCAAAGAACAAAAGTAGTCCCTCACCCCCCTCCATCACACACTAATTTGGTAAAATACAAGTTAGAAGGAATAATTATCAATTCTAGATTTTTCCATCATCATAGGGCACCAGCTACTTCAACAATGTATTATATTTCCAACCTTTGAGTTAAGTGACATTGGTAACAAAAATATAGGTTTCAATAGAGAGCTCTCTCAATAAAACACAATCCTAGTTTTTATGGATGGTTTCAGAGTTATCCAAGGTAAGCAGTATAAAGTAAGTGGATGATGCAGTGCACTTTATACCATTTTCCATGCTTTAATCTCAGAGGTTTATAAATATTAATACATTAATTCTTCATCCCTGTGCGATAAGCAGGGAGGTAAATATTATGAGCCCCAAATTACAGGCACAGAGTTTATCCCAAAGTTACACAGGAGAGTCTTTGAGACTAGAACCCTGATTTCCCAGCTCCATGATTCATGTCTTAAAAAAGGGAGGAAGATTTTGTGGTTACTTATCTTTTTGTCTGGAAACTGCCTTACTGTTTTTAAAGGAGCTTTGACATTTCACTAATGATCTTGTCATTATTAATTCCTTTGGTATTCACTGGTGGAAATGCTTTAATCATGTGAATTAATACCCTTCTACATGTTACATTTTTAGATAATTGGAGCCAATGTACTCTCCCAGTCTGCAAAGTCTTTACAAATTGGAATGCACTCTAAAGGGATGTACTGCTGTGAAACTACTTTCTGGTGGGCAAATTCCTTTTTTTAAATTATTTTGGGGGTGGAAGAGAGGAGAACTGATTTAAGGTGAAGAGGAGTGAAAGATTTAGTGAATGGATGTTCATTGCTTAAGCACAAGGGGAGCCAATATCAATTCAAAGCACAGCCCAAGTGCCATTAAAGGGAAAACATTCTTAAGGCATGAAGTATTTCAGTTTGGAAAATTGACAAGATAAGGGCTCTGTCCTTTAGATTAGTATTGAATTTTGGAAGTTGGACAGCCCACTTTTGAGCAGGTGTGACTTCACAGCTAGAATATGGCCCTTCCCAGGCAGTAATAAGAGAATTATCAATTTCAACTTAGTATTTGTAATAATAAATGTGTAGGACTTGAAGTTTTTGGACAAAGTAAGCACCCCTAGAGCTGCACACCCTCTACATATAAATAATCCTTCAAGAAAAATGAAGTATTCAAAAACAACCCCCCACCACCACCTTTTTAGCTTTGCCTCTACAATGTAATGTATTGTGAAAATACAAAATCTGTTTTCATTAAACATTTTTAAATAATGAAAATATTTCTAGCCATGAGACCTTTATTTATCTCTTTTATAAATTTTGGACCTAAATATAGTTGTCCCTTTTAACTATGGAAAATTAGAACTAAAGAATTTTAAGCAGAGGGTAGTCAGATGATAGTAAGACAATATATTATATGCTGCATATTTATCAGAATCTATTTTGAGGAAATTATAAAGATGTAATAATAGAAGAAGAGTGAAATGTCTATAGTAAAAGTTACTTTTGAAACATGTAATGCAAAGAAGGCCATCTGCAAAGAACTATCACATCTATATAATCAAACAAGCAATTTTGTAATAAGTGGATCACTGGAATTTTGTACCCAAGAATAAATAATTCATAGATTTAAGGCCAGATGGAACCATGACCTCTGAATTTGAATTCTTGTCCATTGCCATTCCTCTCCCTCAGAGCCAAATGTCTATCCTCTTGAAGTCTGTGTTAAAACTCGAACTGACTTCAATCAATGGGACCAGTATTTGATCATCAGGCCTTTGTAAAACAACCATCGTTATTGTCTCTTCTTTTAAACCAGTGGAAGACATATATAAAATATGCATGTGATAGTTCTGCTCTATGTATAAAGAAAAAGGAAAACACATGAGAAACAAAATCTAGGGCATTTCAGTTTATTACTTACATTACTAACACCTAATCTCAGGATATATTTAGTTACTGAAAATAATTTCTGCTTATTCCTGCATTTTTCCTAACAAATGGAACAAAATTCCAACAACACAGAGGATTCCCTCCCAAAAAAAATAGTGTTTTATTGATTAAGTTTTAGCACACATTTACAAAGAATAAAAGAGCAAACAGGAGGAGCAAAATGTACTGCAGTCATATGGCTGCACCACCACCCAATAACTCAGGCCAAAAGTTCCAAACGTGGGTGCCTAAAGTTGGTCACCTAAATCCATATTTATGCAGTTTCATAAGTCAGTGGGAGCTTCACGTAGTCAGCACTTTCATAGGACAGGACACTTATTTGGGTGCCTATATTTTAGGCACCCACCCTTAATAACTGAAGACAGAATTTTAAATGGTTTCTCTGCCCAGTGTTTTACAAGGCATAGCAATGAGATTCATAACAAACACAAAATATAATGCATCATTCAACGAAAGAACACACATTTGACACAAGCAAAAGTCAGTGTAGCCTGCAGCATTCTAGAATAGATCCTTCTGCTCCAGCCACCATCTTCCTACTACCGCAGGTTGGGAACAAAAGCAGTTTGTTTGTTTGTGAACTCAAACATCAAGCTATTTCTATTATCTATCAACAGAGAAATACAGAACAAGGATAATTTGTGTTTTGTGCTTGGATTTTAAAATGGCGTGAATTTATTTAAAAATTAAGTTCAGTATTTCAGCTCTTGGCTAGTTACCTTTGTGGCTCTAGGTGGTCCCAAGGTTGTTCATCCGTAAGTTAAAAAGAGTAAGGACAAACTCTGACTCTCTGTTGTGCTGGTGCACAACAGGGTGGGGTTTGGGGAAGGTGGGGTGTGGGAAGGGGTTATGTTGGTTGAAAGGACAAGCCAGATGACGGATCGCAGCCTGAATGTCTAGCGCCCTAAACTTTACTTTTAACACTTTATTAATTCACATACTTCTAAGGTACCCTTCCCTATGCATTTAGAAGTACATCAATTCCCTGAAGGAAGAGGAAGACTGTGCCCTCTCTCTCTCCTCTATCAAATCAGTTTGGTATCCCCCCCAGACACCATAGTTAATAGTAAGCTTTTGCTGGCAGCAGGTAAAGAGGTTCTTTTTCCTACTCATAGAAGTAAAGTGCTCCCTGCATTCGTGTCCTGACCCACAGAGGAATCCTGTTGTGGCCAGCAGAATTCTTCTTACAGAGAATCCAAACCTTGTCACCCTCAGACCTGTTATTGCAGTGGTGCCCAAACTTTACCTGTCATGGCCCACCTTACCAGTAACGGAATCTGTCCGCGCCCCCATTACTGCGCTGTTGGCTCAGCAGATGAGCTTTTCTGGGGGGGCGGAGAAGGAATGAGGGCAGAGCTGGGCTGGGGATGGAGTGGAGCTGCAGCTGGGGCCAGAGCTGGGCTGGGGGGCACTCCATCCCCACCCACTGTGGGGCTAGCCTGAGCCCCCCAACATGCCCCACCGAACATTCCTCTGCACCCCCCGAGGGAGGCACATCCCACAGTTTGGAAACCACTGCCTTAGTGTGTGGCGGGTGGAGTTGGAAAAGATCTACAAACCAGATCCATAAAATCTCTAATATAATATATAAAGTTACTCTACAACAGATCTAGTGATACCAAAGAAAAATGAATATACTGAAGTAAAATAACAAACCCATAATAAATAAGTGCAGAAACTTCATGTTGCTTTCCAAACCCACAATTATTAATGTCCTGTTCACTAATCAGTAAAACTTTTTGAAAATAGCTTATTTAACGGTATTCTATCACTTTCAAACATTTTAATACAAGACAGGTACAAAGATACATTGAATCTGAAATGAGGTGCTGAAAGTGCCCCTGTCCTGTTTAAAATAAGGATCTGTCAATTATGGTAGGGGTACAATATTATGTAGTAATTATATGCTCTAAAAGCCTGATCAAGAGCCCACTAAACTTCATGGAAAGACTCCCTCTGACTTGAAAGGGCTTTGGTTCAGGGCATGTGGAAGTACGAAATATCTTATTGAGTCTGTGAGGCCAAATAAAAATAAAGGAAAATAAGAGGTATATATAATTTCAACCTACCTCTATCTACCTTACAAAGCATTTACACTTGTATCAAAACTGCCATCACTGTCAAACTACTTAATAATTCAAAGCTATCAAACAGCCTCTTTTTAGCAGCAGAGAAATCCAAATAGATTCAGTGAAGAGTCCAACTAAAGTAATATTATAATCCCTATTTAAGTCATAGTATTATCTCTTCAACTTTTGCTATCCAGTGAAGCAACAGAACCAGTGACAAGATGCAGCCAGATTGTCTTGGATAAAATAAGAACTGACCCAAAGTCTTTTTTGAAACTTGAGGGGAAAAAATGAGGTTCACCTCCTCACCTCCACCACATCTACACTTAGTTCTGGTTGGGTCTGGAAGCAGAAGTGCTAATATTTCATTAGAAAGGCCACCCAGAAGCACAAAGTACCAGAAATCTCATGAAGGTTTGTTTCTGTAAGATGCCCAATTCAGTTTGCAGAGCTGCAAACAAGTTTTTGACCAGATAACTGCCTAGACCTTTGAGCCATTGGAGTTCTGCTCATCACTGCTACTACCCAAATCACTGTCTATATCCATGTGGAGAAGCTGACTTTTATATCACTATCATTACACAGCTAGGCACTCTTAATGCAAGCACTCAAACTTCAGTGATGAGGTTAGTGTAAGAAACTATAAATAATAAATACAAGCCTGGCACACAGAAAAATGCATAACTGTGGTCAAACCGTAAGACAGTGTCTTTGTTACAAATTTTAGAACTTTATTTTTCAAAGTGAAGTTAGTGTTAATGAAGAAGCGGTGCACGATGGAAACCTGACTACCACAAAATAATTCTCTAAAGAAAATGTATGGCCCAGATAGTACAAGCTTCCAAACACTGCACCACCGCTATGTCTTAACTCTTCTGATAGGCCTACCTCTAGGAATGAGATGGTGGATCAGTCTCTAGGCCCATTCAATCATTGGCCTTTCATAATAGCAGTCTTCATGGTGGCTTTTGTAATGTGGAGAAACTACACTTTGACCACACAACTCATTTCAAACTGACCACTGAACAAGATAAGTATTTTGTCACTACTGACCTCAATTGGATTAAAGTAACCTTTGGAACTAAAACATTTCACTTACAGTTACTAGTCCTCTGAGCTAGAGAGTCTCCCTTCTAATAGAATTTCTGAAAATTGCTGCTTCTTTCTCATGAGATTCTCTCACCTTACCAAAAAAACACTGTGTAAGCTAGACTTCAATCAAGATAACCAAAAGGTGCAAGTCATTCTCTGTTTCACAATTGATTTAGGATCTTCCATTATCTAACACAAGACTATTGTTCATTTTAAGGAAAAAAAAAAGTAATAATCGTATAATGGTTTAGAAAAAATGCCAGGTCATCTGGTTGAGGTCTCTTTGTCTGGTGCTATTTAGAATACGCATGTTGTCTCTCACACATACTTAGTCAGAATTATTGATGAGCAAATGTCAAACACCATACAGCATGTTCATAAAAATGGTACGTTTCACACAAAATCATGGCAGAAAAAACCCACACATGCGTCTGATAAAACCATCATGACTTCTTTTAAAATCTGAAATGGAATGAAATTAGTAATCCAAAACAATTCAGCTAGCAGTATATACTTTAACTGAATGATCACCACTGTCTAAGACAATCAGAGAATTGCTTGCTGTGTAAGTCAATGCCACAGGATAAGAAAGCCCTTGGGTAATTATGGGCCTTAAGACAGGAAATTCCTCAGGTTTTCCTAAGCACAATACAACTTGGTTATAGGCATCTGCTACTATTATGTGTCCCTCTCTGTCGAAGGCCACAGCAGTGGCATATATTTTGAAGGGAAACACTAGGTTTAGACCAAAGCTATCCATCTGGCCAATGAGTTTCATGTCAGCACTGAATATCTTCACTCTTGTGCTGCTGTAGTTTGGTCCCTTAGCTATCAGGTGCTCTATTACAGCGATAATACCAGAAGTCTGAGAAACTGCCACCTCTCTTGGGTTGCATAAGTTAGACTGGATCTTCTGAACTTTCTTTAGTTCTCCTTTTTTAAAATTGGCTGTCAACCGAGAAAGAGCACCTGCCTCTGGATCAGACAGGATAACGTCATTCTCTGGGGTGGTATCCAAACCCCATGGTAAACAAAAGGATTCCCTGATAACTAGCTTGCCTATTCCGTTAAAATCAAACACTTTCACAGAGCGATCGCCGCTGTCCGTGACAACCACGTGGCCGTCCAATGTAACTGTCACGTCAAGTGGGTATTTAATATCATTGCCTGCATCTCCTCTTTCCCCAAACTGTTGTATACAGCTTCCACTCAAGCCAAACAGCTTAATCCTTTTCTTGCCATCGTGTGCCACTACTACACAGTCAGACCCTCGACACATTGCAATCCCAGTCGGATCGATCAGCGTCCCCCAGCCTCCGAAAGAAAGGTTGAACGTTAAGCCTAGAGATGCTGATACAGCTGCTTCATTGCCAGTCCCAGTTGTTGTTCTTGAAGCTAAAGAAATATTAGTTGCAGGGCTTAAGATCTCTATCAGGTGCAGCAATGGTAAGCAGTCACTTGTCTCTGAGGATTTGCAAGCTCTTCGACAGAAAGGGCACTCCAACCTAAAATTCCTTGGGTGTGCTAGAGAGAATACACACTCCAAGCACATAACATGTCCACAGGGCAAGTTCCTCGGCCTGTGTTTCTTCTTCTGGCTATATTTTTCAAAACACACTTTGCATTCAAGTAGACTGACCTCAGTTTCCTTCACCAGTTCGGTCATAATCTGCATTCTATCAGGGGCCGTGGCAGACATAGTTGCAGCTTTAACAGGATTGTTGATTATACTGTGCTAGCGATGTGACGCTGCCATCTGGTCACATTGGACAGTCACAGGACTGTGTTACATCAGAGGCCTTTCCATAAATGCTGATGGTATGTTCCGTTTCAAAGCATTTACTGTAGTCTCCTGCCCTCTAAAGGAAACTTGGGAAAATGCAATGGGCTCACCAAAATATATTTTAATATTTTCTTACTGTTATCTTCACTTTTTCCCTCAAATATTTTGTTTAAATTCATTTGGAATGAACATATATCTAAACTGTAAACTAGAAATCCAGACTCATATCATTTAAATCATGGTAATTTAGCATAGCAAGAGTGGTTTCATAGTCCACATCAGTTTTCGAGAGTCAATACATGATTAAAGTCCAATAAACCACACAAAAGCAGGAGGAAGGAAGAGGAAGGGGGTAGTGGGCAATTGAGGGGTAGTTATTCAGGATGCAATGAGTGAACAGGGCTGCGTTTATCATTTTCAGGAGCCCAGGCAAGAGCAGGAGTTTAATCTGTTAGAGAGGCGGTTCAGACCACTGGTTTCTTCCACCTCTTATCCTGCTACTGGAGATGGGCTGGGAAGTTAGACTAGGTCACAAAGGTTTCCTGTTCTGACCTCCTGCTGTTAACATTCCTCCCACACCCACATTGCCCATCCGGGGAGGCCCTTCTCCACATGCTCAAAGAAAGTTAAAGGGTCCTTGGGGTTCTGCTGGAAGTGGACTAAAGCAATTAGAAAGTCTACCTTCCTGTTCCTTTTAACACTATTTTACTGAACAATGCTATGACCAAGAGAACCATGTCTAATAGGATGTCTGATTGCATTTCTCATTGCTATTACCTGGCTGACCTGCAGCTAGAGGCCAAGTCAAACTTCACTCAGTCAGGAGCAACGCAGCCACCGCTGCCTGCCTCAGGTGTGTTTCTATTACAGAGGAGGTGAAATGGCTACATCATGCACTCTGGGTGCCTTTACAAAAGTATTATTACTTGGATTCAGCCTCCTGGGAATGCCGTTTCAGACTCACCATGTTCCAGAACTTGTTTCCAAGATAGATGGGATCAAACTTCCCCCACGCCCACAAAGTGTTGATTTTTATTTAGGGATGTCTCTTACATTCTTTGTATTGATTTTGTCCAATTAATGTCTTTTTTTTGGAAAACTTGAATGTTAGGTCCAACCCTGGGCTTTTAAGGAGTAACTTGCTCCTTTTTGTATTTTTTAAAACCTCCCTGTTCACACTGTTGGCCTTAGCCTTATTACTGCTGCTCACTTCAGCTTTACTTTCATTTTCAAATATCCCTTGAGTATCTCATGGCCCAGGAGTAAGAATCGCACAGAGATAGTATTATTGGAGATGAGAAAGAACTTCCTTCAACTTCTTCTCTGAAAATATACTGCAGGAGGACACTCACTTGCCTGCCTCACCTCAGTGCTTGGAGGTTGCTTTTTGAGAGTTACTTTTCTCTTGATCCTTGTTGTTTATTTTTCTTCAAAGCACATTGTTGATCCTCTGTAGTTGGTTTATTTTTCTGAGAAGACAGACTCTCTTGCAAACAAAGAAACGGACTGGGATGCTAGAAGAGCAGTATTTATATAGCCAGCCAGTAGGGGGTCCTACTTTGCTCTCTACCCTGTCACCACCAACTTCAATGGTTAAAAAACAACAACAAAAACCTTAAAGTTTCATTAAAGTGATCACTCACTACTGGCTACAACTACAAATATCCTGAAAGCATCAGACCTGAGTCTGCAGCTCTTTGAATACAATGTTTGCAATGAACATCAAAAGCTTGCCACAAACAGAAATGGAGGAAAATTGACATATATTTCTAAAGCTCTGCTAATCTGTGGATGTCTACAGACCGTGTTTGCAGATCACTGATCGGATGTGGATACAAATACACTTCAATGCGATATGAATGCACAGCTAAATCTTTTAAACTGGATAATCTCAATATTTTAAAACAACTATTTTAACTATACCTGCCTCAAAAAAAAAAAAAATTATGAGCAAGAGACACACACACTTGATACAAGACATTGCTTCTACTTCCAACTCTAATGTTCATAACCCCTGGGTGAAGGGGCATGCCCCCATCCCAATCAGGAGAAGGCTAATGAGCTCCTCTGGGTTCAAGCCCTACCAAACAAACATGCCTGCAAAGCCAACTTCAGCTGGAGGAAGCAAGCTTAACAAGGAGAGCTGCTAACAGGAAGGGGCAGCAACCAGAAGGAAAACTGCTGTGCCTCAGATTCATGTTATGGAGTAGGTGAGAGGAAAACATCTGACAAGACTTCACGGCCCAAAGACTTACCAAAACCCCAAAACACCCTTGAAAGGGGAAAAGGCCTTTGAAGCTGCCGGAGTGTGACCCCTGAGGAAGGCCTTACATATCACACCCTTTAAATGTCAGGTTGTAATACTGTAAATCAGCTTTGGTTTCAGAGACTCTTCTCCACATACGGTAATGCGGGATGGAGAAGGAAAGGGGTCTGAGAACCAACATTAGATTGTGTCAGCATCCTAGTGAATTTTAGGTTATTTTAAAAAATCTATTATTAGGGACTCAAAACTAAAATTCCCTTTTGCAAAGTTGTAATAGTGTCTATAAACTAGCGACGGGAGACCCTCAAAGGTTTGAGTTCAGATAAATATCCAAAAGCTCATATGCTTATCCAAACCGCAGAAGGGTCTCCATTAGGGCCCACAATCCACATTCCCCATACAACCCTTCTTCCTGTGGCCGGACTCCGGATTCATAATTGTTGTATTGAGGGGGAAGAATATCACAGTTATAGAAAATTTCAAGGGGCATCTACTCCCGGTGTCTTCTGCTCTCCTCTCAGTTGAGTCACTTTCCTTACCCCTCTTGGAGATCTATAGTTGACTGTGTCCCCCTCATCCAGTGATGGCTGCTGCTGAATATTCTGCTTTGCTCTCTGCTAGCCAGTCTCTACTCTGCACAGCACAGAGCAACAGAGGTAGGGAGAAAAAGACAGCAGCCGTCAAGCAGCCTCCTGCCTCTTCTATGCAGCAGTCACTAGTGGCAGGAGCTCAGAATTACAAAAACAAAAACTTTTCAAAAGCTGCAGCTGTCAGCACTGTGTAGCTCCTAGGACATGGGCTGGAACTATGAACACTTGGGATGGGACTGCAAAGCTCCAGACAGACAGACAATATTGGTAGCTATGGAGAACGGTCATGGTCATTTCTTTTTATACACACACACACTCTGGACTGCACCCATCCCATCGAAGATGGAATCATGGACGCAGCCGACTTCGAGCAGTTCTTGCAGGAACAAATCAAAGTGAATGGAAAAGCTGGTAATCTGGGTGGAGGTGTGGTGACCATTGAGAGACGCAAGAGCAAAATTGCTGTAACTTCAGAGGTGCCATTTTCCCAGGGATATCTGAAGTACCTTTCTAAGAAATATCTGAAGAAAAACAACTTGTGTGACTGGCTGTGTGTAGTTGCCAATAGCAAGGAAAGCTATATAGAGAGAGACTTTTTAATTTTAATTACTTGAAATAATACAGGAGACGAACAAAGTTAAAATGATTGTTTATAAAAAGAGTTTCAATGTGGTTAAGTGCTACGCATCTTAAAATAGATACTGTAAGTCAAATCAGATGTACAGTGTAATTGACTTAGAAAGCATAAAGTCTTCAAAAGACAAAGATGTTCCATAACCCAGTTTTCATATACTGAGGTGTTTCAGAATTCCCAAATATCCAGCTCATTTCAAAGTGAGATCAATATAATTCTTCCCACCTTGCTAATAAATTTTGTGTTTCTTGTTTCATCAAGAAACAGACTTTAAGGTAAGCAGATATGTTACCTCCAGAAAATAATCTAGTCCCCAGGCTTTGTGCTGGTCTGAGAAGTCATCGACCTTCTCAAGACACTTAATTTCACAGACTTTTCCTGAAAAGGAAGAATAGCAAGTTACAGATATGATGAAGGATGATGATAGTTTGTTTTGCTTTTTTCAATCATGAATTTTTACACTATTAGGAAAAATCTCGCTGACTTAACTCATTTGTAGACTAGCATAAATAAAGTGAGCAGGATTTAGCCCTCTCTCATAATTGTATGCTACTGTTAATTAAGAATAATTCATGGTGTTTAGACACTTCAGAGGTTTCAGAATGGTGTAAACCACAGGATCTGTAGAACCAAAGCTTAACGTAAGGCATATCAAGGATGAAATGTCAACCTTAACTCAATTTTCTTGTTTCAGTAGCTTTAAGTTGGATCTTTAATTCCCTTAACATGGTGTTTTCCTATCATCATACTTTTTTTCCTGCAAGTTAACTTTGGTTTCAAAATTATAGCAGAAAGCACACAGATGGTGGGGAAGGTATCTGTGTTAAATCTGGGTAAAATGAGCAGATAATGGGGCTTGGAGGAAGGGGGGGGGGAGGGCGGGGCAAGAAACCAAGATGTTGGTACAGAAAGGACATGAGAAAGTGACTATAGGACCAAGAGTGAGAAGCTGTGGGAATAAGAATGAACATTGGGATCTAGTTTGAATTATTGGAGACTCAGCATGGAAAGAAAGTAACCTTGGGCCAAAAAGGGACTGTTTATGTCTTACTGGTAGCACAGGTTCAAATTTCCTTTACAATGTGTATTTAAACAATGAGTCTGTATACCTTTTAGGGAAGTGATGTTTTCCCCTGATATCAATAACCCTGGAGTGAAAAGGATATTTATTTTCAAACTATGTCTCTCCAGATTTTGTACAAGAAGCAAACATTTGCCTCAGGACGACTCAAAACACTACAATATGAACACATTTGTCTGTCACATGTTTTGAGAAAACTCATAACTGCAGTGGAGATAACTTACCAAATAAACTTTTAATTTCAGAATCAGGAACATAGAATGGTGGACCTGGAAAACAAAAAAGGAAAAGCTGAATCAGCAAAAGTCACGATGACCCGTCTAATATTACAATGAAGCAAACACTGACCAAATACAAGGAGAAATGTTAAAATATTAAAAAAGAATTATTATAGGTTATTAATTATAAGACTTTCTTTTAATAACAATTACTTAGAGAAGTTCAAAAAGCAGTGGAAAACTTATTTGTATTAAGTTAATAATTATCAAGGAAAACTTAAGGAGCTTCTGGGTTTAATAAAAATTAATCAATCCGCCTGATGTATGATACTTAACGCTTACATAGAGCTTTTCATCTTCAAAGCATTTTACAAACATTTATTAATGAATTATAACACCTGTGAGGTAGCCACGCTACAGTAAATTGGGCAATAATTCCTGATTTTAGGTCATGAGGTACTGAAAATCCTGAGTTAGTATCCATCAGAAATATAATAGGATTTTCAGATAATGAGGGTGCAAGTGAGGGAGCAATGCTAGGGTAAGGGAAGGGTGCCAAGGAGGTGGACATAGCAGAAGGGGATAAACAGGACACTCTCTATACATTATACAAAAAACAGCGAAGGCAACGTTATTTTGCATTTTGTTTCACAATTCACCTCTCCCCCACCCCCAAAAAAACAACCTTTCAATTGAGACCAAGCACGAAAAGTTTCTGCCTTGTAGGAATTTTTTTCCAAAACTGAGAAGCAAGTGGAAACAGGGTTATAAAGAAATTTACATACAAACAAACCCCTCTCCTTTCACCCCCCCCCAAAAAATTCACAAACTTTTGCTACTGTGAATGCCAAAATATAGTTAAATAGAAAAACATTAAATCTGAGCACCAAGCCTCTTGACACGAACTGAGGCAAAATTATTTTTTTATATATATATATAAATTAATTAGTGTAAAGGTAAAAAGTGATTTTACTTAACTTCTAAACAAAATGATTCAAAGTTCTTACCTTTATGTTTATTTGAATCATATAAAACACTAACCAAGAGATAACAACAGCTTCCCTCCATTAGAGACAACATCAAATTGGCATAGCTAAAAAGAAAAAAATATTTGCAGTCGTAATTATTTTGTAAGTATATGGTACAGAGTACTCAAAATGTTCAGCAAAAAAGATACGTAATGTATTCCTATGCAAAATAGTTCAAATGCACCCTTGAAATGCACATAAACTAATTTAACTGAGGTACTTCTCATGTAAAATTCCATGCAGTAAACATGCAACATATGAAATCCTAAATAAAATTAATAAAATTCTACCTTATACACATGCGTGCATGCACACACGCACACCATTTTTCATATGAACTAACAAAAACATGAAAATGTAAAGCTGACCTAGTATTTAAGTCTTCAATAATCTATAGTTACTGTAGAGGGGCCTATACAGTATTGATTTTGTTAATTCACAGCATTTTATTTTATTTTTACAAAGTAAAGGCCATGTATTCAACTTAACTTAATGTCCAGTAATAGGGGTAAAGTGAAGAGAGAGGGTCATGGGTAAGACTGGAGAGGGGAAAGGAGAAAAAAGGAGAATAAAGAAGATGGAGTGAGGCAGAAAAAGGTGAAAATGGTAGAGACCAAAAACAAACATGGAAAGCAAAAAGTAATGGTAAAATTCAGATCTGCATATCTACCACTAGATGGGAACAGCAGCTTTAGGTATAGAACATAAGCAGCAACATACAGTAGAACCTCAGAGTCACGAACGAACACCTCCGGAATGGTGGTTGTTCATAAATCTGATATGTTCATAATTCTGAACAAAACATTATAGATGTTCTTTCAAAAGTTTACATCTGAACATAGACTTAATGCTGCTTTGAAACTTTACTGTGCAGAAGAAATATGCTGCTTTTAATAATCTTAATTTAAATTAAACGAGCACAGAAACAGTTTCCTTATCTTATAAGAAATGTTTTTAAACCTTCCCTTTTTTTAGTAGTTTAGGTTTAACACAGTACTGTACTGTATTTGGTTTTTTTTTTTTGTCT